GGTGTTCGTCAGGGCTGTCCACTCTCTCCATTCTTGTTCAACTTTGTGGTCGACGTACTTTTAGAGATAACACTTTCCTCGTCTAGATTTCCAAGGGTTGAACTTCTACCAGGAGGTTCACTTGTTGACTTGGAATATGTCGATGGCATAGTTCTATTTGGTGAAGACGCTGACAAAATGCAGAGTCTTCTGGACACTCTAAGCAACAATGCAAGCATGTTTGGGATGCGATTCTCCCCCTCGAAGTGCTAAATGTTACTTCAGGATTGAGTTGCATCGACACCCGAACTAATGATAGGGAGTGAAGTAGTTGAGCGTGTCGATCGCTTCACTTATCATGAGAATCCCGTCAGCCCTTGTGATCTGGTGTGTGACGAAATCTCAGCACGGATACAGAAGGCTCGACCAACTTGCGTCATTTATGGCGTAGGCGAGATATCCGTCTATCAACCAAAGGACGTGTGTTACTGTGCAGCAGTTCGTTCCGTGCTACTTTATAAAAGTGAAACATGGCCGGATATTCGCAGGTTACTAGTATTGAATCAGTTGAGATGGCTGGGATATGTGTTGCGTATGCTCAACTACCGACTGCCCCTACGAGCGATGTTTTGTGGTGTAGGAGTAGGTTGGAAGAAAGCTAAGGGCGGCCAGATCAAAACATGGCACAAGTCCATGAAGTCACTGACAAGTGAACTGAGTCATATTGATGGGTATAGACTATCTGGTTCGGGACAGCGAGATGATAGCAACTGATGGTTAGAGACCCTGAATGACATGTCTCAAAATCGTTTGCAGTGGCGCAGGTGCATCCACTCTTTGATCTCTCCCAAATTATAATCTTCTGAATTCTTCATGTCCCTTTTTTTCTCTTCCCAAATTTATTTCACTGGATTATACTCCATGAATAACATCTTCGGACGCTAATCTTTCCGATTACTGTTTATACTTTTACTATCCCTACCACTACGGGATTTGGATCGACAATTGTATCTCTGTGCTAATGTGGTATGGCAACCCGAAATGGTGTACGTACGTACGAAGTTCTACGTTGTTACTGACTGGCTGGCTGACGTATTTATGTGAATCTCGGGCAAGAATTATCTTACATGTTGAATAAGTAAAAGTTTTGAGTAGGTTGAAGTAGAGAATCAAATTAGACCTAAGCCTTCTTTTTCAAAGTGGTTCCATTTCTAAGACTTCGCATCGGGAACTGTAGTCAGTGACCGGTTCAGTCTTAAGTATTTTGCAGATGAAATCCCGTTGTATTCCTTACACCTTTAGTATATCAGATAGGTGTAGGTTGAAACATAAGAACGAGCAGTATTCAGCGATAGGTTTTACACAAACTTTGTAAAGAAGGATTTTAGATTCATTTTGATAGAAATTACCGAGAATGAAGCCAAGCAATTTCCGCATTTTGGATGCTTTGGCTGAGATGTGTTCAGAGAAATTACGACTGTGTGAGTAATGTACCTCTAGGTCAGTTACTGATGCCAGTCTGGGCAGTGTGTGATTGCTAAGTGTTAGTTTCATTTTAAGAGACGTGTCTCCTATACATAACCAGCCGCATTTCTCTGTGTTGAGCTCTAACCTCCAGCGTTTGCACCAGTCATCTACCATGTTGTTGTCTCGGTATATACTACTAAACTGTTAAAGTTTGGTTCCATGAAAACAACTAAAAGTTATTCATCTGGTGGGTTAATGTTTCTGCGTCACATTAGAAAATGAATTTAAGTACTCAGGAAACTCAGGAATTCGGGGTTTCCGGTTATCACAAATAATAAGATTTAGGCAAGTAGCATATCAGACAACTGGTTTTACATATCAAATTCTAATGTCAAATTCTAATCTGAATTCTTCATGTCCCTTTTTTTCTCTTCCCAAATTTATTTCACTGGATTATACTCCATGAATAACATCTTCGAACGCTAACCTTTCCGATTACTGTTTATACTTTTACTATCTCTACCACTACGGGATTTGGATCGACAATTGTATCTCTGTGCTAATGTGGTATGGCAACTCGAACTGGTGTACATACGTACGAAGTTCTACGTTGTTCCTCACTGACTGACTGATATCAATGGATAGTATGTAAATAGAGTATCAACATTTGGATTAAGTTTGCTCTGAAAACTATTACCAAATGTATATTCACAGTGATCTTAACTGTCACGATTTGAATTGTTCTTATCACAATACGAAATGAGTGAATGAAACGTAGATTGACAAAATATCTATGCAATGATCCTAAGGCAAGCGAAAGGAATTGTAAGAATATCAGTCATAGACACAACATAAGATACTTTCTAGATTTGTCATCAAGACTGGGATTAAAGTTAGAAGTTAGCAAGATTATTATTGCGATCGAGTGACTGGACGGCAAACACCAGATAATCTTCAGTTCCGCATTATTCATTAAATGATTTCACAACATATAGATTTCAGGGCTCCATCTCATAACAATATTGGAAAAGTCATAACGAATTTGAGGATGACAAAAGCGCCTAGATATTGAGTCAACCTCAGGTGTTTTAAAGGACCAAAACCCACGACTACTGAATAAAGTGAGTGATAGGTTAGCCAGGGTTTCGGAAGCTGGACATAACTCAATTCGAATCACTTTGGTCACTGATTGTTTCTATCTTAAAAGAAAATAACAAGAATCTTGTGACAGCTGGAAAATAGCTTTTGTAAAATCTTAAAAATAATCCGGGAACGCAAAACCTGCGTATACACATCCTTCAACGGGCCTTCAAAGCAAGAAGCTCGTGCTGACTCAACTGTAGCTGCGTCTCATGGCTCGAGTTTTATAATACCTCCACTGAGGGACTAACCAAATAAGGACTCTTTTTCCTAAACTTTCAATCAAATCAGACATTATGATGAAGTCACTGATTTTTGTTCATCCATCCTATTTTACCCACTTTGGTTAGGATTTTAAAGACAGAAGTTTGCTTTACTCAAAGCCCGAACACCATCTACTCCATCACATTAGTCCATGAGCTATTTAGCAGGGTAAAAATTGTCATTTCGTAAGATTTACGCGATAACTGTAATCATGATTCAAAAAGGCAGTATTCAAGAAATAGTACAGTAACCCAAGTGAGTTCTTTATGTTCAACTAAGTTATGATCAATGTATCACCATATATTCGATACTCTCTAATTGAATTTGCTTTTTTTCTAGTTAATCTTCACTTATCAGAATGGGTTTTGCGGAGAGTTTTAGAAATTTCACAGGTTGAAATCATGAGTCAGTTGAAGCTAGACCACCATTGAAAACGGCCGTCCAGTGCTTCCAGGTTTTCAATGGTGGTCTAGCTTCAACTGACTCATGATTTCAACCTGTGAAATTTCTAAAACTCTCCACAAAACCCATTCTGATAATAATCAACTGCTCATTAGTGACTGACTTCAAGAAAAACTCCTGGAGTTCCAGCGAGAAGCCGTTACCAGTGGAGTTCAACCGGTCTGTTGTGAGATAACTCACTGAAGACAATGGTGTACGGTGGCGCAACTTCGTGGATTGGTTGAAGTTAGACATTAACACCGTTGGATGCCGACTCAGTGGTCTAGTGCTCGCGCGCGAAGCCAGTAGGTCCTGGGTTCGAGCCCCGCGTGGTGCGGGATCGTGT